GCTGAAAAACTCTTCAAGGATTTAACACTTTCACATTACATCGTTTTTTGAATACACTTTCTTAGCAGCTGAAAAATGTTGTGCTCGAAGTCGAGGAAGCTGTAAACCATGTCCTGTGTTTATATATAATCTTCGTAACTATGGGGGCCGTCCCTAAAATGTATGTTAAATTTCCACCAATAAATTAAGTTTTCAAGTTTGTTTAATTTGTGTGGGTAGTTGGAAAATCAGTCTACCTTCCTGGTTTACAACTTACGTTTTTATATAAAATTCTCTTTTTCGACTATTTGAGACTGTACCGAAACCGGTTGACCCGATTTTATGCAATTTTCCGCAGGTCTGAAAATAAAATAATAATAACCAAAACTAATTAGAAACTTAAAACTCATTAAGAGCATGATAAACAAAATTACTTACCGTATTTTGAAAGATTGTTCTAAAATATATCAATATTATTGTTAGTAATTAATTTGTAAGAGCGAGATAGCCTATTCACTGGACTTCTAAGTAGCAGATAAGTGTTATAGCCTCCTATTAATATAAAGGAATAGGAATATTATTAAAGAGGTTTCTACTCTCGTTTGAGTTTTTTTACCAAAAATGTAAATAAAATAAGGGCCCGCACCACAAGCGTCGGGGAGATTAAAAAAAATTATAATAAACAAGTGTTATAGTAAATTATCTTAGCTAGCTAACATACATATTATTACAAAGACATAATTACATTTATAAAAATATATGAAACAGGACATTAACATATTATAGCCTAGCGGTCTTATTAAGTGGCAGCTAGGTGAGGGGTACCAGGTTCGATTCCCAGTCGAGGGCAAGTTTTAATTTAATTTAAATTTGTTCTCGGCCTTTGGGAGGGTTGTGCGGTACCGGGCGAGTGCCTAAACCGTACATGGAGGACACGGTCGAAGTTCTAAGGCAAGCACGAATTATAAAAAATCTTATACTTGACGCTGGCTAATGCACAAACCGTGCCAGAGCCATAAAGGGAAAAAAAGGACATTAACAGAAAAAAAGTACGAAAAGAAAATTACAATTTAACATTAAACAAACGACAATTAATACGTAATATTTCAAAGACAAAACTAAATTGTTACTGCTAAACAAAGTCAGTCTTCCCGCCTCTTCGAATAATTACTAACATCCTCTTTGGTGAGGTGGAAAATATCAACATCCTCATAATTAGTGTTATAGTTAGCTAAACCCCGAAACATTGGCGAATTACGCAGGTAATTCGTGTTCTCGTATGAGGCACATGGAATAATTGTGAGTAAGATACTCACAACGCCGCATACGGTGGAGGGACTCTTAGAGAAATCAACGACAGCAAATAATGTTTAAAAAACTTTATTTCTCATTATAAAAAAGAACGTATTTTATTTACATAAGAAACAATATGAATACACGTCGCCATCAGCCGTCCCAATTTTAGTCTATTCTCATTCTGATACGTATATTTAATGCTTTTTTGAATTGGTTAAACGCGCTAATATTACGAATTGTAGACGGTAATTGATTAAATATCTATTCGCCCATTAAGAATATCGTGCAAAAATAATAAGTCTTGTAAATTTTGTAATAAATTATTAATTTATCAAAAAAATCATAAATACATTTTTTTTTTACGTAGCATGCTTAGAAATAATATAATCGCCAATCTAATACTGTCTTGTAGTTGAATTTCGTTGAAGACTGCTTTTGCATATACATATATAAATATGAATTGATGTTTGTCTCGCTAAAACTCGCGAATGGCTTGACCGATTTGGCTAATTATTATCTTGAAATATTTGTGGAAGTTCAAGGAAGGTTTAAATGGGAAACATAAGTAAAGAAATATACTAAAAAGAATAGAATTTTCCAATAAAAACTGTTCCGAGCTGGGACTGATTTCTATTGGAACATATTGTATTGGATGTCTAGGGGATTTAGAAATTTATTCTATTGTCAAAATTATAATCTAACTATTGAGATTTGTCATATATTTATTTTAGAAATTTGTGTTTCATGAGATCTCTTCTTTAGGTAACCCCCCCCTAACCCCAAAAAAAAAAACCCCCCCCTTTTTTTCCCCAAAAACCCCCCCCCCCCCTTCCCCCCCCAAAAAATTTTTTTTTTTTTTTTTTTTTTTTTTTCCCCCCCCCCCCCCCCCCCCTGTTCCCCCCCCCCCCCCCCCCCCCCCCCCCTCCCCCCCCCTTCCCCCCCCCCCCCCCCCCCCCCCCCCCTTTTTTTTCCCCCCCCCCCCCCCCCCCCCCCCCCCCCCCCCCCCCCCCCCCCCCCCCCCCCCCCCCCCCCCCCCCCCCCCCCCCCCCCTTTTTCCCCCCCCCCCCCCCCCCCCCCCCCCCCCCCCCCCCCCCCCCCAATTAAAAAAAAAATTTTTTTTTTTTTTTTTTTCTTTTTTCCCCCCCCCCCCCCCCCCCCCCCCCCCCCCCCCCCCCCCCCCCCCCCCCCCCCCCCCCCCCCCCCCCCCCCCCCCCCCCCCCCCCCCCCCCCCCCCCCCCCCCCCCCCCCCCTTTTCCCTCCCCCCCCCCCCCCCCCCCCCCCCCCCCCCCCCCCCCCCCCCCCCCCCCCCCCCCCCCCCCCCCCCCCCCCCCCCCCCCCCCCCCCCCCCCCCCCCCCCCCCCCCCCCCCCCCCCCCCCCCTTTTTTTTTTTCCCCCCCCCCCCCCTCCCCCCCCCCCCCCCCCCCCCCTTCCTTCCCCCCCCCCCCCCTCCCCCCCCCCCCCCCCCCCCCCCCCCCCCCCCCCCCCCCCCCCCCCCCCCCCCCCCCCCCCCCCCCCCCCCCCCCCCCCCCCCCCCCCCCCCCCCCCCCCCCCCCCCCCCCCCCCCCCCCCCCCCCCCCCCCCCCCCCCCCCCCCCCCCCCCCCCCCCCCCCCCCCCCCCCCCCCCCCCCCCCCCCCCCCCCCCCCCCCCCCCCCCCCCCCCCCCCCCTTTCTCCCCCCCCCCCCCCCCCCCCCCCCCCCCCCCCCCCCCCCCCCCCCCCTTTTTTTTTTTTTTTTTTCTTTTTTTTTTTTTTCTTCTCTTTGGTCTGATTTCAATTTTTGTATTAATTGACACAAATATATGTAGACGAAGGTCACCGGGTCATCTAGTGTAGTGTAGTAGTAGTCCAATGTCTTAGCGTAATTTAAAAATGTCAATTAAGACGTAAACAATACACCAAGGAAATGCCAGCACAGGGAACAAACATATTAAATTTATCTTAATTCCCTTTTTATAATAATTATTATGTCGGTTATAATATAAATACTGTAAATTTGTGTGTTTATAATATAATATAGTATATAAGTAACCAAACGTTAAGTTTTACAAGCACAAACTTCATACTGGTTCGACGCCATCTTGTCTAAGCGTTTTGGCGGGTTTTTAAAATTATGGATGTTTTAATTTTTAATTAACAAAATTACAAAATAACGTCCTGTAGTTAGTTAGATATATAATCTAAAGTGTAATAAATATTAAATTAATAAAATTTCTAGGTTATAAATCACTTGTAGTGTATTCTCCAATGCGGTAAGTACTAAAAGCCCCTCGTTGTGTTTCGTTATTAATGTGCTACGTGACGGCTCGTATCTTTATGGTTTAATATTTCAATTTGTCGGTTAACTGTTGCTGGTTTAAGAACTGAAATCGTATAGGAACTACTTCTCAAGGTATTTAGACTATTTATTTTAAGAAATATAGAATTATAGTAATGAAAACCTACTTAAAATACCTGACAACTTTATTTAGGTATAAACTTTATTATACATACAAAAACGTCCCATTTCCCAAAAACTGGTGAACGGATTTTAATGAAATTTGCCTTGTTCCCTAAGTTGTAATATAGTAATAACACTTTATACATATATTAGCGGATCCGACAGACGTTGTTCTGTACACTCGTCTTAAATAGTTCAGTGACATACACACGTACAGTAGAATTATATATATATATAAAATAACTTTGTAAAAGTACCCTGTCAACCCAGACGTAAAAGAATATGATTAAAATATGAATTTTTGTTTCTATTCGTGTCCTTTTAGAAATCGGTTAAAAAATAATATTTGCTCTTGTATAACAAATGGTAGTTCAGGTAATTTCTCAGTTAAATCAAAAAATGTATCTTAATTTGTGTGCCTATTGAAATACACAAAACCTTAACCTAAACAACTTTATTTAAACTGATTAAAATACAAACAACAAAATTAAACATTTTTAACATTTAGAATTTTGTTCTTTAATCTTTTACCGTAAAATAAGGTATCTGACATCTTTGTTTGGCATGTGACATTTGAGTCAAAATGGACGACACTAAGACGTCATCGCACGCTTTCGCGGGAAAACAATTATAAGCGATAAAACTCTAAAATTAAGTCGAAATATATGCAATAATCATTTTTTGCATGAAAAATTATAAAATCATTAATTTTCTTTCAATATGTATAACGCTTGAGTGTATACTTTATGGGCTGGTAGCGCATAGGTCGTTGCTATGGTAACTGTAGTCGCGGCCCCTTGAAGTGTGATAGATCTTGAGGCCGGCCGCGCCTTTTGGCTAGCGTTTCTAAAGAATGTATGACCCTTATACAACCAGTATTTCTAATAATCAAATGTCAAGAATATATCAATAATATAAAAAAATATAATTTTTTTATAACTCACACGACCTCCAATAAAGTGAAATGTATTCTCTAATCATTCATTCATCGTGACATAAAGTAAAGAATAACATAAATCATTCAATTCGCAAGTCGTCAATCAAACAGTTGCGTGCGTCGACTCGAGTCCGCTACAAATCTTCCATTTCACTCCGCCCCAGCATCCGATACGAGAGGAAACAGCACGGTCCAAAGCACGCGACTGCGTATCGCCACTCCCGAAATAGCCCCCCGCGCCGCTTGCCGACCATCGACGTGCTTTTAGTATGCTGCGCGCATGCGACACGCCCGCACCCCTGTGTTCCTAGTCATCACATTTCAATAAAATCAAAAGTGCTATGTAAGTAAAATGGTCGCGATCCTAGCCAACCCGAAATGGAGCGAGGACCTCACCATCCAGATGATAATCGAATACGAGAAACGTGAATATCTCTGGAACCCCGTCTCCGAGCACTACAAGAACAAAAAAGTACGCGAACAGGGCTACGTCGAGATCATCAACGCGCTGAATCTGGTAGACGTAACTGTTAAGGAGCTGAAGAATAAGATAAAAAATATACGGTCATCGTACAGTGTCGAGTTGAAGAAAATTCGCGCGGCGAGGAAGGCTGGCGCGCATGCGTACCGGCCCAGCGTCACGTGGTTCGAACACGCCGACAGGTTCCTAAGGGCGATCGTCACTCCGAGCTCCGTAAGTGCTGCCACTCACGACACATGCGCGTTAATGCCAACATTGAAGCGAAATATTTCTGTTACAGGTTGATAATAGCTTGTTGGAAATCGCGATGAGCGACGACAGCGACGCAGTCCAAGATCTGAGCGAGCGAAAATCCCCAGAAAAGAAAAGCCCACGCAAGCGTAGGAATTCCACTCGGTCGTCTACCCCTTACGTTTTGAACACGCCATCACCGCGTCCCGGCACCCCGTTCGGTTTAAGTCAGTCCCCCTTCGGTATCCTACCCTCATCGACGACATCGTTTCTCAACCCCCCAGTCGGAATAGCCACACCACTCACCTCACTCGCAACGATATACCCGTTAACAAAACAAAAGAAGACCAACGACGAACGAAGCGATTTAGAGCCGCAAGACCTCAGTCAACACTCTGAGAATGGGAACGAGAACGAGTTTGAAATGTTTGGAAAACTAATAGCCAGTCAGTTGAGAAAATTGCCTCTCAGCCTTGCGTTGGACACGCAATTAAAAATTCAGACACTCGTGAACGCGGCTCGCATTCAAGCGGTCTACCAACAGTACAGCTACGCGGGCCCGTCACAAGAGGCTTTGTCTGTGCAGGCACTCTCTAACGGAATCCTATCAAGTATGTCACAAAGCACGTACTCGTCGCGTGCAATGGGCATTCGGAATGAATCCCCTGACTTGCAAAGGGACTTGAAAGATTACCACGTCGGCTCGGAGCCTGAGGATTAA